GGGGGGCCCCCCAAAAAAAAAAAAAAAAAAAAAAAAAAAAGGGCAGCACCTGTGACGACCTATTTATATCTTTCCTTTATTGAAACAAAGTGTCCTCTTTGTGTTGTGACTTTAAGCCAGTCATAACAACATGCCTTCTTTTTCTTTGTAGTGTAAAAACGTGGGGTCAAATTTACAACAGCAGCGAAGAATGACCTACGCACCTATCAGTCATCCACAAGGGTTGAAACTTTCATATAAAGGTCAATTTGGTCATCAAAACACATTGATAAACTGTAAAGACTGTCCAGAATACGCTAGTTCCTTTCAAAGTATTTTTTTTTCTGATTTGAAAAAAAAAAAAATGGAATCCTAGCATTTTATTTTAATTCTAGCAATTTTTAATTTCTATGTTCACTTACATAATAATTTCCCAATTTCTCTGAATACTAACGTTGAAATTCTAACCTGGTGCTGTTCTGCCCACTGCTGGAGGTTGAAATGTAATTCGGCTACACTTTTATATTTATCTTCCCAAGACTCTTCTCGAGATAAAATGTTTTGCAATATTGTGGTGTGCACTGTGCAGTGTCAATACAGTGCAACTTTTATTTGGTTTAACGTTAAGGTAGAATGGTGGAAACGCCCCCCACCCCCCTTTAGGGACTGTGTAATTTTTTTCTGTGATACAAAAGTTAAATGTGTTCAGAAAAGTTATCATAGTTTTAGTGACAATGACATAAATTATAAACCAAGTATGAAAAATATCCAGAGTTTTCATGTTATTAGATTTTTAACAAAGATTAAATTTGTACTACCCCACAGGTGGGGTAAAATGCCCCCCAATCTTACAAAGCAATTTGCTTTATACATTTACAGCAAAATCAGAGTACAGGCAGTTTTAGCTTAAAATTAAATATAATCAATAATTATGAATTACAAAATTATAATAGCCAATCTGAAAAATGTTGTTAGTTGATGCTAACTGGCTAGTTAACTAGCTACCTGATGATAACTTGAGGTCATTTTTAAATATAAAGTCCAAATATTTTTATTCAACCAAGTAGTTAGAATACATTTGATGGAAAAACAAAGGATTTGATGTTCAGAACAGAGTAACTAAGCCACGTCCCCTTGGGGCGTTTTACACCACAGACTAGGTTTGAATAAAAAATGTCATTCTGAAAATATGATTATATTTTTCTTAAATAACACGTACTCCCTATCTGCAGGCCCTACTGTTCTCATATCATATATAACTGTGATGATCTACAAAACAACAAGCTTTACAGTTTTTTTCAATTGCTAACATCCCTTTGTCCAATCTATAATCACATTTTCAAAACTCTAAACACAATTAGCAAAACATCCGTCTGTTGTGACCACACCATTAAAACAATTCATATTGTTTTCACACAATATTCAGTCAATTAACATGTTTCTAAAATGCTTAAATTTTCTTTTCATACAAGCTTACCCCTTACCAAAATCATGGATCATTCTTATCTTTTTTTACAAATGCTTAAACACAGCATGACAGAAATGAAGACCTAATGTTCCAAAGACATCAAGAGACTACAACAGACAGCCAAGGCTGCTGAGACGATTATTGGCCAAACCTCCAAGATCTGTACACCTCCAGAGTAAGGAAAAGGGCTAAGAAAATCACTTTGGACCCCACACACCCAGCCCACTCTCTTTTCGACCATACTTTTCTGTTTTTCTTATATTACTGTTATAATTCCTGTGTATGTCTGCACTGTCGTGTAAGTTTGCTCTATGTCCATACTTTCTTCTGCACTGGAAGCTCCTGTCGTCAAATCAAATCCATTGTGTCTGTAAACATAAATGGTAATAAAGCTCTTTCTGACTTTCTGACAAGGGAGAAAGAGAGGTAGGGGGCAAAAGGCAAAGGGCTGTATGTTTTTTTTTTTTTTTCACACACAGAAATTTCATTTTGCCAATAAAGCCTTTACTGCAGCAATTCTGTCACTTTTCTTTTACATTCCATAAAGTACTTTCATTTTAGATCGTATGTGTACAGCATAGTGAAGGAGTCATCAGTACTTTATGGAATGTAAAAGAAAAGTGACAGAATTGCTGCAGTAAAGGCTTTATTGGCAAAATGAAATTTCTGTGTGTGAAAAAAAAAAAAAAACATACAGCCCTTTGCCTTTTGCCCCCTACCTCTCCTTCTTCCTTGTCAGAAAGTCAGAAAGAGCTTTATTACCATGTATGTTTACAGACACATACATTTTCATTTTTCATTTTGCCAATAAAGCCTTTACTGCAGCAATTCTGTCACTTTTCTTTTATATTCCATAATGACTCTTTCACTATGATGTACACATACGATCTAAAATGAATCCACACATTTACACACGCACACAAAAAAATGTAGAGTTCAGCTGACTGAATTATTATTATTTTATTTATTTATTTTTTTTTTTAAATGGATCTTATATTGTATGTTCTATACAGGTTGAACTGAGACATGCCAAGTAATGCAGTTTTTGTAATGCCATTAATTGTTATGATTTTGACAGTCTATGCACTATGATCGACTACATGTTCCTATTGGATAGAAAACCAGTGCCAATGTTTTGACTGAATGACTCGATTTTGATTTGGGTTTGCTGTGTTTTGATAGAGTTAGTAAATGTAGAAAAAGGTATTCGGCATTTTGAAACGTAGAGTTTGTATTTATTTAACAAAATGTGGTTATGGCCAGAAAATTAACTATTTGGCTAATTGTGTGATGTAGGTGTGTTAAAAAAAATGGTAAAACATTTTTTTTTTGGCTGAAAATTAGATCGTCAGTTCTGTGTTCCTGTGTCATGTGTTTTCCTCCCCCACGTGTTCCTTGTTCACCAGGCCTGCGTTCAGCCCCGACAAAACGGTGCAACACGTTGTTTAAACGGAAACGGTGGTGCGTTGAACACTGTTCTGATGACGCAAGAGTTGCAACTATGGCAGCTGAGAAGGCCATTATTAATGAAATGAAATAAGAGCCGAGATTTGTCCAAATGTACCCGCTTTTTGTGGGTAACATTAACAGGGTTCGAAACATGCATAATTGAAACTTTTAACTTATTCAGCTTACAGTATCTCTGATTTCTAAAACTGAGAATATAGACTCAGTCCCTGCTCATGGCAGAATTTTTCAGCCAGGACCAAATACTAGAGTTTTCTCATGTCCATTTGATGCTCTTGATACACAGTTGAGAAATATAGCATTTGTGAGATTCTCCCTAGGCACTAATGCTTTGGGGGTTAGAGGTACTTTCTGCACAACCAAGATTTAGCATTTAGGGTGATCAGAATGCTCTCCCTTCAAACATCCAAAGGTCTTGTAAAGATCATTTTCACAAGAGACACTACTTAAAAATGACACCAGAAATCACCATTGATACATTACATTGCAACTCAAAAAAACGTGAAGTACAGTGGACAGAAATACTCTCAAAAACATCACTGTGAAACACAAGAGGAAAAATATGCATAATTTACATTTTATTCAAAAGTAACAATAATAATAACAATAATTTAAAAACTATACTTTGTTTTATTAATAATAATTAATGCATCCGGGGGTTACAACAACAGCATTTAAATTATCTGTTTAACATAATTTGACATAAAATAAGTAAAATCTATGCAGCCCTCTATCCAGCTCCTCTAAACTCAACTACCACTAAACTAACTGAAAAAAAAAAAAATTATGACCAAAATGAAAAAAAAAATGATTATTTTAATCCTAACATTGGCCCACAATGTTCTTCTTTGTATTAGGTTAGGAAGTATACAGTCAAACAATCTGCTTTATGCAGTAAACCCAGACCGAGGCTTCTTTCCAGTGAGTGCAGAGCAGGAAATTGTACTTATTACAGAATGCTTTGAGTGAGTAGAAGAAAACGCTGTTGAAGCAATCCACTCTACTAGTCACCCAGCTTGGCAAAAAAAGAAATACATACAAGATTAGCAATAAAGCTAGTGTTTATTAGTAATGAATATGTTTAACTGTTGTTGTTAAAGGTTGCTATAACATATGAAGGTCAAAAAGATAAAAGGTAAAAAGATGTCAGCTGGCCCAAATATCGTAATGACACTATATCTATCTATAGTTAAAATCTGGGATCCTGAAAAGGCCATTCAAGTGACATACCTTCTACTGACAAAAGAAGCTGAGCTTCTCCTCACACTTTGTTTGCTTGTCCAGGGCTCCACAACGAAGGTCTCTGGCAGGACACTGGGGCTGTTCGTTCTGATACCAGGCTGTGTAGTCAAGATCATCTCCAGTGACCCATAACCAGTCCCCTGTTAGAAAGTGCAGACCAGTCCACACATGCACTGTTTCAGCCTGTGTGATTTCCAGTAAAGCAGAATTCATCCTGTTTATTGTGCTCAGACTTGCCAGATCATTATAATGAGTCCTGCAGTATTCCAGAGCTCCTTCCCAGGTCTCTTTCTGATGCACCAGAACAAAGTTTGTCATGCAGAAGAAGGGTTTAGTGATATTGCATTTTTCATCATGCAATTTATTATTGGTTTTGTATAGAAAGCCACAGTTTTCATTGTCAAGGTTATTTGGTTGATTAAATGCAGGATCCCAGCTAATTTGTTCAGCATCTATACCTCCTGACCACTTCCAGACTCCTGTTTCGGGCTTTTTGTGGAGTCCAACCCAGGCATCAGAAGCTTGACCAGACGCATTAGCTAAAAATCGCTGTTCCTCACTCGCACTGATGAAGGTGGAGAGGACATGAAACTACGTTTTGCAGTACTTTTGCGCACAAAACCATTTCTTCTGCTCACTCACGAAGAAATGTTGTTTGAGACTGAAGGAGAGACAGTAGAGCTCCATGATTAGAAGGAGAGCGAGTGTTGTCTTCATCTTCTTCCACTGAAGAGTTTCTGTGATTTTGTGATAGTGATCAGTTGAAGTTGAGGACAGAACTATGCATGATGACACTGACTCTCTCTTACTTAAACTGACATACAGCCAATGACAAATTAGTGTGATGGTGTGACCAATCACAGCACACCTTTACATACAGAGCAAAAAAACAGGTGCATTTAACCAATCAAAGAAGCCTCATAATATTTCTAAGAAAAACTGTGGGCAGAGAAATATGGCATGGATTATTTTTTGCATGTTTTGCACAGTTTGGTTAATGTAGTGGTCCCAGATTTGGCTCTAATCTAACCAACATACAAACAAAATGTTTTTATTAGTTCTACTGTAATCATTCAAAACCATTACTGATTAACCAAGCATAGATGAAATCAAACACTTCCAATGTTTATCAAAAGTTCATGGTGCTTCATGATCACAATATATTTAGGATTCTGATATACCTTAAAACCTGTTGCCTTCTGACTTTCTCTCAAGTACTCTGTTTTACAGACCCAACTGATGGTTTTTCCAAGGACAAAAATGCAAAGCAAATCTTGAATACCATCCAAACAAGCTGGTGAACATTTGCCTTTGGGATAGGTGGTGCGGAAAGGAAACATTATCCATGGTAAGAAGATCTGCAGACACTGACAATGGGAACACTAAAAATTACCTCCATTCCCACCTAATCTCATGTATAGAAAATAACTTGCTTGATTTGTCAATGGCTCAGTAATAATAACCTTTGGGATAGGTGGTGCGGAAAGGAAACATTATCCATGATAAGAAGATCTGCAGACACTGACATTGGGAACACTAAAAATTACCTCCATTCCCACCTAATCTCATGTATAGAAAATAACTTGCTTGATTTGTCAATGGCTCAGTAATAATAAAACACATATAAGAGATGTCCAGCATAGTATGTACTGCAGATGTGGGTTTTATAGTTAATGGTGCTTACTAAGACAATAATCTTTATAGCTATTGCATATTGGGTTAGGAATGTAAACAAACTGATGATGATAAAACTGATTTTAAAAAATCCCAAGAATTTAGAATAAAGGGCCCAAGCCATATGTAATCCCTAGAATATGGAGGCTAAAATACAAAGGCATGAGAACAGTTTTTTGACATGGGCTAGCCTAAATAATTCAAATATGAACAATTTTCCAGGATGGCAGGAGCCTTATGATAAATGAAAATTGCACACGACTTAAACAACATTTTGTGATGTTAAAGACAAAAAAGCATCAAAATAATTTAGATACAAAAACAAGCTAAAACACTAACAGCATCTTCTCTTTAGAGTTTCCAGTAATCAAACCCATTGTGTGATATTCTGTCTCTCTCATGGCAATCTGAAGCAAGACGTGACACTCAGGCATGCCTGAAGTATGGCAACATGACACAGCATCTCATTCCCTTCTCAGGGAACCGGGTTATATACATAATCCTAAAATGTTCCCTTTCAAGGGAATTTTAACCCTGCATCATAGTGGTGATGTTATGGGAGCATAAATACGCACAACGCCATATTGAATAAATGCCTGCTCACTAGCCATGGAAACAACTGCAGTGACTGTAGCCATGGTTATCTTATTTTTAGATGCATACCAAGTTACCTTCAGAGAGCTTCAGAGTCGGATCCAGAGCATACAAACCGGGGGGCGTTTGTATTTCTAGAGGGGGCCTTGGCAGAAATAGGTAAGGGGCACTGGGACTTAAATATTCGGGCCAGGCAAGTGGGATACTAATAGCAATAATTCCACTTTCCTGCTCTTATCAATTCACCCATTCCTCATAATCCCCAGTAAGCATGCTAATGTTACAGGTCCTGGGTGTGGAACATGTAGACAGATTAATAATCCATGAATTATCGGGGGGGGGGGGGCTTTGTACAATTCCTTTTGTGTTATTTCACAACAATAAAGTCTTTAAATACGTGTCTCTTGAGTATCACTCTTATACATTAACACATCTAATCATTATAGCCTCTGTATATTTATCAGGATGACACAAAATACACTTTAAATTTCCTTCAGTCAGCCATCATTTTCATGTTTTTCTCTGTGAATACTTCTTTTATATAACCATTTACAATTGAACTATTAAACTCATTTATCTTCTTCATGCATCTGTTATCTTGTAATTTAAACTGTAACGGTTACACATGATACAAAATATCAACGTCACTCTCATAAAACATATAGATTATTCTGAACTAATATAGTCTTTTATCGATTACCAGAACACAACACAGACCAACTGTCCTTTTACCATTACTTTCATCTGTTGAACTCTACTCAATCAACCACCGTATACAAGCTATTCGATTTTAGTCACATAGGAAATGTGTACTCGCATGTTTTTATATTCACAATGTCTCACATTTTCACTTTTTATGAAAACATACCTGAATTATCAGGAGAAAAAGCAAGGACAATTAAGCTTCTGTGGCTTTCCTCAGGCGCAGCTCAGTAGCGTCTAAGGCAGGGATGTCAAACTCATTTTCACTGAGGGCCACTTCAACATTATGGCTGCCCTCAAAGGGCCGGTTGTAACTGTAAGACTGTACAAATGTTATACTCCTTAACATAATGTTAAATAACTGTCTCTTTATTTTATTATTACTTATTTAAGTTATAAATATTGTATATGCATTTGCATAGATGTAAAAATGTGTTATTGCTCTGTGTTATTTTAACATAAATCCGGCTGCAGATGGTGCAGAACGCGGCGGCTAGATTGTTAACCGGCACCAAAAAACGTGAACATATTTCTCCAATTTTAGCGTCCCTTCATTGGCTTCCTGTCTTTTTTAGAATTCAGTTTAAGATTTTACTTATTGTTTTCAAAGCTCTTAATGGACAAGCCCCATCTTATATTTCTGATCTTATTTTTTTGCATTAAACGCCGAAGTCTCTCAGATTCGCTAATAAAGCTCTATTACATGTCCCTCGGTCACGACTTAAATTAAAAGGAGACAGAGCCTTTGCAGTCGCTGCTCCACGTTTGTGGAATCAGTTGCCACCTGACATTAGGAGTGCTTCTTCTGTTTCTATTTTCAAGTCCAGACTTAAGACACATTTTTACTCTCTCGCCTTTCCGGGCTATTAATTGAATGTGAAACTGTTGTTATTGCCGATATTACAATTTTTTTTATTATTGTTTTTTAAAATTTACTTTATTTTAGAATTTACTGTGTTTTATTATTGGTTTTGTTCAGCACTTTGGTCAGTGTAACGCTGAATTTTAAATGTGCTCTATAAATACAACTTACTTACTTACTTACTTTTAATTTATCAGGTTAAGAAATTCACAAGACTCCATAAATCAAAGTAAATAACAAAGACAAATATCATCAAACACAATTCATTACATTAACTTTGTTAAATACTTTTTTGTTATATTTGAGAGAGGCAGAACTATTGCACAACACATAATTGTGTGCTGCTAAGAACATGTGACAGATATGGCATTTAAAAAAACAAACAAAACAAATGAGCCCGGTCTCATGAAAATGCGTATCAATAGCACGATTTTCTGTTTCTATTTGGCGTGGGATTTATACGCAGAAATTGACTTTGGCATGCATATGATATGCAGTTTTGGCGTGCATATGATACGCAATCACTACTTTAAGTGGAAAAAAGTTGCGAAAAGTTGTAAAAATAAGTAAACGAATAAATAAATACAAACTAATGTACTAAAAAAGTACTTCTTAATTTTCATAATTCACAATTAAAGTATATAGTGCCACAATAAATAAATAAATAAACAAGTAAATAATTGTTTGTGATTCAATTCACATTTATTTGTATAGCGCTTTCCATGAGACACATCCTTGCAAAGCAGCTTCACAGAAAATGAACATACGTTGTTTTTTTTTTACAGCACTTTCAGTAAAAAATATTGCATAACTCAAGCTGTGATACCAAACAGGACCACAGGGAGATTCCAAAAGACCACTAAATGAGCTACCTTGACCTAACTGATCCATGCAGAATTACTAAACCCCTGACTACTACGTAATCTAAAACACCTTCAGCCAGCACCCAGTATAAAACACTTTAAGCCAAATAGCTACATGCTGAAAATAAAAAATTACTGACATCTGTACGTGAGTACTATTATCTCTGCCATCTCTGATGAAATGTTTTCTCTGCATTAGCGCTGTTTTGAACTTATTGTTTGAATGCATTCCCTTACTAGATCCCAGTGGTGTACAGTAACAAAGTAGTTTTACTTTGTTACTGTACTTAAGTACATTTTTCAAGTATCTGTACTTTACTGGAGTAGTTTTATTTTGAGTAACTTTTACTTTTACTTCACTACATTCCAAAGCATAAGATTGTTCTTTTTACTTCACTACATTTCATAAAACATGTTGTTACTTCTTATAATATATCACGTGCTCCGAGACGCAGAAGCGGTGTCTGATTCAAGATAGCTAACAAGCTTGCTGGTGCTAAATTGAGGTAATTTTTAGAAATAAAGTCCAAATATTTTTATTCAACCACCTAGATAGATTACATCTGGGGGAAAAAGAAAGGATGTCAACACAGATTAAATAAAATAACTCATGCACGTTCATCTTCACGATAGCAGTTTTACTAAAATGCTATGCATTTAGCCCTATGTGACGTCTGTTTTTATATTGTTTGTCAGCACACATAGCCTAAGTTACTATGTATCTGGATCAACTAGCTGAGTAGACAAATATAAATGTTTATTCATAACCATGCTGAAAATAAGTCTAGCTAACAAGCTTGCTGGTGCTAAATTGAGGTAATTTTTAGAAATAAAGTCCAAATATTTTTATTCAACCACCTAGATAGATTACATCTGGGGGAAAAAGAAAGGATGTGATGTTCAGAACATGGTAACTACAGTAATTATCAAAGTGGGAAGTGATGCCCTCTGGGGGCATTTGGGAAGGTTTGAGAAGAAAAAATCATTATGAAAATCGAATTATATTTTCCTTATTATATTCATGATTTCCTTATTGGTTATTTTGGGAAAATCCCAGGTATTTTGAGCAGTAGGATTATAAAAAAAATATATGCTAATATAAAATTA